GAAAAAGCTTTTGACAAAATACAACACCCATTCCTATTAAAAACACTAGAGAGCATAGGTATAAATGGAGTCTTCCTTAAAATAATAAATAGCATCTATCTAAAACCTTCAGCAAGCATAATATGTAATGGGGACAAGCTAGAAGCATTTCCAATAAGATCGGGGGTGAAACAAGGATGTCCATTATCACCATTGTTATTCAACATCGTACTGGAAACGTTAGCTTTAGCAATAAGAGAAGAAAAAGACATTGAAGGCATTAAAATAGGCAAAGAAGAAACAAAGCTATCACTCTTTGCAGATGACATGATGTTACACTTTGAGAATCCCAGAGAATCAAGTAAAAAACTACTTGAAATAATAAACAACTTTAGCAAAGTTGCAGGCTATAAAATAAACCCACATAAATCATCAGGATTTCTATATATTACCAACAAAGCCCAACAGCAAGAGATAGAAGGAGAAATTCCATTTAAACTTACTGCAGACATTATAAAATATTTAGGAGTCTACCTCCTGAAACAAACCCAGGAACTCTATGAACACAATTACAAAACACTTTTCATGAAAATAAAATCAGATCTAAAAAACTGGAAAAACATCAGTTGCTCATGGGTAGGCTGAGCTAATATAATAAAAATGACAATTCTACCTAAGCTAATTTACTCATTCAGTGCCATACCAATCAAACTAGCAAAAAATTATTTTATAGAGTTAGAAAAAATAATAACAAGACTCATTTGGAAGAACAAAAGGTCCAGAATATCAAGAGAACTAATGAAAAGAAATTCAGGGGAAGGTGGCCTAGCCATTCCAGATCTTAAATTGTATTATAAAGCAGCAATCATCAAAACTACTTGGTACTGGCTGAGAAATAGAGTGGTGGATCAGTGAAATAGGTTAAGTATGCAAGACACAATAGTCAATGACTATAGTAATCTATTATTTGATAAACCCAAAGACCCCAGCTTCTGGGATAAGAACCCACTCTTTGAAAAAACCTGCTGGGAAAACTGGAAAAGAGTGTGGCAGAAACTAGGCATTGATCAAAATCTCACACCATATACCAAAATAGAGTCAAAATGGGTACATGATTTAGATATAAAGGCTGATACTATAAGCAAACTGGGAGAGCAAGGAATAGTTTACCTGTCAGATCTGTGGAGAACAGAATTCATGACCAAACAGGAGATAGAGAACATTACGAAAAGCAAAATAGATAATTCTGATTACATTAAATTGAAAAGTTTTTGCACAACCAAAGCCAACGCAACTAAGATTAGAAGGAAGGTAGAAAATTGGGAAAGAATTTTTACAACCAGTCTCTCTGATAAGGGCCTCATTTCTAAAATATATAGAGAATTAAGTCACATTTATAAGAATACAAGCCGTTCCCCAATTGATGAGTGGTCAAAGGATATGAACAGACAGTTCTCAGATGAAGAAATTAAAGCCATCTAAAGCCATCTAAAGTCATATGAAAAAATGCTCTAAATCACTATTGATTAGAGAAATGCAAATCAAAACAACTCTGAGGTACCACATCACACCTATCAGAATGGCCAACATGACAAAACAGGAAAATGATAAATGTTGGAGAGAATGTAGTAAAATTGGAACACTAATGCATTGTTGGTGGAGTTGTGACATGATCCAACCATTTTAGAGAGCAATTTGGAACTATGCCCGAAGGGCTATAAAAATGTGCATACCCTTTGACCCAGCAATAGCACTTCTAGGGCTATATCCCAAAGAAATCATACAAATGGGAAAAGGACCTACATGTACAAAAATATTCATAGCAGCTCTTTTTGTGGTGGCAAAGAATTGGAAATTGAGAGGATGCCCATCAATTGGGGAATGGCTGAGCAAGTTGTGGTATATGAATGTGATGGAATACTATTGTGCTATAAGAAATGACGAACAGGCTGACTTCAGAAAAACCTGGAAAGACTTGTATGGTCTGATGCTGAGTGAAGTGAGTAGAACCAAGAGAACGTTGTACACAATAACACCCATGTTGGGTGATGACTAATATTGATAAACTTAACCCTTCCTGGCAATACAGGATCTAAGACATCTCCAGAGGCGTTGTGACAGAAAATGCTATCCACACCCAAAGAACTATGGAAGCCGAATTGTTACTTTTTTTCTCTTCTGCTGAGTTTTGTTTCCTCTTTCTGATGGTTCTTCCTATTGGGTTTTAATTTCTACTTACAACATCAAATATGTTTAATATGAATGTAAATGTATAGCCTATATCAGATTGTGCGCTGTCTTGGGGAGGGTGGTGGGGAGGAAGGGGGAGAAAAATTTTAAACTCAAAAGCATATAGAAGTGATTATTGATAAATCAAAATAAATTAATAAAAAAATTTTAAAAAATAAAATAAAATAAAATGTGAAAGACCAAGTTTTGAGGTTGTTATGGGGTGGTTAACAGCCACAAACTACTAAACATTATCACTGTGTAAGATTTATCACAGTTCTAAAATGAAGCCTTAAGGAAAATATGATGGACTCTGAAGTTCAACTAATTGACAGCTCTTCAAGTTTTATTTCATTTACCCACATCTCTTACCAGTTTTATTAATTATACCAGAAATAGGATCATGAAAAGATTAAGCTGTTTGATTTTGAAAACAAAAATCTATCCCACTTTGGTTCTGATACTAATTTTTGTGTCAGAGGCACTATTAAGGTAACTGGTAGGTATACAGCTACAGTCTGAAACCTACCAACCAAAGAAACTATTGCATGTAAAAACATGTATTTATTACAATCTCAATGTAAGTAGAGATAACCTTGATTTCTTAGTTGGCTATAGTAAGATTTCAGCACTGGCATAAATACATGACTGCCTGTTGTCTACTTTACTAAAAGCCATGTATAATGTAATGTACCATAACAAAAATAAGCTTGTTGCTTCTTGGGTCTTTAATTAAAACAGAATTCAGGTGAAAATAAAATATTTGTAAAGTGCTTAGTAAAGAGTATTGCACATAATAGGGGCTTAATAAATGCTTATTTTTTTATTTCCGTCCTGTCTAATACAGCAATTATACCAAGGAGAGTTTCAGCAACTACAAAATGAACTTAATTTAGCCACTTGTGTAAGATCCCATAGACTATTAAATATAAAAGGACAAAAGTAGGGTAGTTACTTGTCTCAGAACTGTTTCTATCTGAAGACCATTAAAAAAATGAAAATAAGATGATGATGATGGGAATAAAGTATTCAAAGTACTTGATAAATTATAAATCTACATAAATTTGTTATTTTTAATCTTCATTCACTGAACCATATTCAATGGAGTCCAGATAGCAACAGACCTGACAGGTTAGTTTACATTTAATATTCAGCAGATTTGCAGAAGTCAATAAAATAACAGCTTTTCATAACTGAATCAGAGTATTGGGATATAAGCTCATTTTCTGGAGTCTCACTGAAGGCACATTCAGTATAACTCCAGTAGCAGATAGGAAGATGGGAATGGTATGTGGAAACAGGATGAAGTACAATTCATTCCCATCATCCCATTTGCTTCTGGAGTTGTCCCAAAGATGCTTTTAGTGAGCCTATAGAAAATAAGATTATGTACTAACTCAGGTTTGATTACAAAAAGCAATCATTTTGTCCACCTGGTCAATAAATGCTTCAAACATTAAACATAAAAGAAAAATAGGAGAGTAGCAATTTGTCCTATGACCATTTCTATCTGAAATCCATTGACCGTAAGCCCTTCATAACACTGCCTCATCCCACCTTTCTAGTCTTCTTTTACCTTACTCACCTCCACATACTCTGAGATCTGGTGACACAGGCCTCTTTGTTGTTCCTTACACAAGACACTTCATCTCACAGCTCCAGGAATTTTCACTGACTATACCCCCAATGCTCTCCCTCCTTTGTCTTCATCTGCTGACTTCCTTCAAGTCCCAGCTAAAAGTCTTACCAATCTCCTTTAATGCTAGTGCCTTCCTTCACTTAATTATCTCCAATTCATCCTGTCTATATCTTGTTCGTACATAGCTGTTTGCATGGTGTCTCCCCCATTGGACTGTGAGCGCCTTGACAGGAAGGATTATTCCCCCCCTTTTTTTTGTATCCCCACTGCTTATCACCATGCCTGGTACATAGCAGGCACTTAATAAATGCTTATTAGCTGACTGTTGACTATAAGAATAACAGAAAGGGATGGGAATTTGACTTGTGAGTTTATTAGTACAGGGAACTCCCAAGTTAGGAAATTCCTACCTAGAGAGCTGACTAGAGTACTGAGATGTTAAATAACTCACCCAAGAGCACACAGTGTGTGTGAGAAATAGAGCTTGAAGCAAGGTCTTCCACACTTTAAGTTAGGCTCTCTATCCATTAGGCCCCTCTGTCTCTCATAAAATTTATGTAGCTTTAGTTTATAAAATCCTTTATGTACATCAGCTAATTCAATTATCCTGGGTTACTGGGAGAATAAGTGATTGAGGTCACACAACTCTTAAGTGTTAATGTTGCCTAGAGAATAGATCTTCCAACTCCATGTTCAATGTTCTTTCCACAGCCAATGCTCTTTCCATAGCTCCTTCAGGCACCCTGATCCAGAGTAGAGCATGTAATTCAAAATAAGGTGCTTCCAAAACATTTGAAATGAAAAAAAAAAAAAAAAACAATGGCAGTACACCCATGATGATCATACAAGGAGAATTTAGCTCCTTGGAATAAGAGCAATACATTGGATAACTCCCTCTCCTTGCTTCCAAGGTCCTTTGAAGTTACCATTGAGAGAGAGGGATGAGGTGGTACTACAACTACTGTTGCTGCTGCTGCTGCTGCTACTACTATTTCTCCATCCTCTTCTCCTCCTC